TCCTCTCTCTCTCTCACACACACACACACACACACACACACACACACACACACACACACACACACGACTTGTCATCTGAGCTGAAGTGAGCACTTGTTCTTCCTTTTCATTTTCACAGAAGCTTTTCAAAAAATGCATTCATCAAGCATTTAGAACCAAATCAGTTGAATCACAACTCATTGAATTAAATTTTTTAATTCAAAATGTTCAAATTTTATTCCTGTCAAAATAAATGTTTGATTAAATTACAACAAATATATAAATATTAATACTAATATATAATTATTTGTATTGTAATTTTACACTAAAATTTATAATTATTATTGTTTATTATTGTTGTTATTATTATTATTATGTTATAGTCATATTGGTATATAATCACAGATTTTGGCCAATTTTGTTTAGCCCTTCAAACAGGCAAAACAAATAACCACAGCAAACCTGATTTTTTTTTAAATCACAGTTTTTATCATAATTTGGTGGAGGCATTCATTTATTTCTTTATCGTTATAATTTTACTATTTTACTAAACCAAAATATTTCAGTAATAACAATAATATAATTATTATTTCATATTTAAGATAATAATAATACTAATAATCATTAAAATAATAATTCTTCTTCTTCTTGTCATATTTAATGGGTTCTATAATAATTAACCAGAGTCTATGGTGAGGTTCTCCTCTATCCTTATAGTAAAGTCAACTCTAAGCGCACATTGTAAAGCTCTTCGGGGAGTTGCATCAGCTTTTCCAGCCCTGATAAATGTGTTTGAATCCTGATCGTGATCACGAGCGAATGAATGAGCTTCTGTTCCCATGAATCACAGCGTGTGACGTCACCGAATCAGCCCGTGTTTGTGTGTTTTTATTGTATCACAGAACATTTTTCAGTGCTACAGCATCACATATTAACTAACCTTATTTAACTTTAACTACCTGACCTGTTCTGTTCTGTTCTGTTCCGGTTTTGTTAAGCGTATGTGTGTTTTCTCTGTCTAACAGCAGACGGTCTCTCTCATCATATTCCTGTTTTAGTGTTTCCTCTGTTCTCAGGTTTCTGGGCTTCGTTATTAAATGAATCTGTAGTTTTGAACAAACTGAGTGAGTGAATAATTCAGTGACTCATTCATTAAGACAGTCACTTGCAATTCTCTCTCTCTCTCTCTCTCTCTCTCTCTCTCTCTGTGTGTGTGTGTGTTTAGGGAGGTGGATAAGGTCCTGTGCGGTCTGGAGATCTTGTCGAAGGTCTTTGATCAGCAGAGCGCCTCCATGGTGTCCAGAATGATCCAGCAGGTGTGACATCACTTCCTGAGGGTTTGATGTGTGGCTCAGTATGTCTGTGATTCACACTAGTAGCTCTGATTCATTCAGACGCTTTATAGAATTTCTTATGTTTCTGGGGTTTGTTGATTATGTTTTGTGTGATTAGTGAGTAACTCTGTGTTTGTGTACAAAATGTGAGTCACTTTGGATCACAGCATCTGCTAGCTGACTCTGACTCGCGTAATCTCTGTCTGTAGACCATGTCTCAGGGTGGAGATCAAGAGCTGGAGCATCTGGTCACTAAACTGGCCATCCTCAAAGATCTGCTGTCATCTATAGAGAAGAAGGTAAACACACACGCAGCTAAATACATCAGACGTATCATTAGATTCAACACATGCTATTTTAGAGCTGAAGAATCACTGGCTGCTCCCAAATTTCTGTACTTTAAAGTATGTACTTAGTTTGATGGAAAACTCACATCTTCACGTCATCTGATAATTTTTCACTGACTATATCATGAATACTGAGCGTTTGAGTATATCGTACTATTTTTCTGTTTTCTTTTCTGTCATTATTATTATTATTATTTTTATTTATTAATATGATTTCTTATGATGTATCCAATTTTTATTATTAATGTTTGTTGTTATTATTTTTGTAATTATTATTTATTATATTTATTGTTTTTTGTTATTATTATTTCTTAAATAATTATACATTTAATTATTACTAAATTATTATGCATTAAAATGAATTATTATTAATTATTACTAAAATAGTTGGCTCTACCAAATAGTTTTTGTTCCTTCATTGTAAGTTGATTTGGATAAAAGTGTCTGCTAAATGCATAAATGGGTATGAGAGAGGCACATAATGAATAAAATGTATTATTGATTTATTTATTTGTTGCTACTTTTATTTGTTAATTCATTCATTCATTCATATTTATAAATAGTCTTCCTCTTCATTGCACTAATATTGCATTTAATAATGTATTAATATTCTGTCACACTGTTTCAGGCTCTGAAGGCTCTTCAGGACATGAGCTCTTCTACTCCGAACATCTCACCGCTGCTGTCCATCAGACACAAAGCTATTCCTGTGCAGACCTTCGAGGTACAAACACTCTCGCACACACACACACACACACACACACACACACACACATGTTGTGTTTCCATGTTTTATGGGGACATTCCATAGGCGTAATGGTTTTTTTATACTGTACAAACTGTATGTGCTATTGTCCTACACCAACCCTACCCCTAAACCTACCCCTCACAGGAAACTTTCTGCATTTTTACTTTCTCAAAAAAATTCATTCTGTATGATTTATAAGCTTGTTTCCTCATGGGGACCTCAAAAATGTCCCCACAAGGTCAAAATTTACTAGTATTACTATCCTTGTGGGGACATTTGGTCCCCATAACATGATAAATACCAGGTACACACACACACACACACATTTTGAGTAATAATCAGTGCAGTCCGAATAGAATTTTAAAGTTTTTAAAAATAGTAAATTATGTTTATCTGCAAGTGTAAGAATGCAGACAGGTTTTCTGTAAGGGGTAGGTTTAGGGTTAGGGGATAGAAAATATTGTTTTGTCAGTATAAAAGTAATAGAAGTCTATGGAAAGTCCTCACAATTCACAGAAACAAATGTGTGTGTGTGTGTGTGTGTGTGTGTGTGTGTGTCTCAGGTGAAACTGGACGTGTATCTGGCCGACCTGACGAAGATCGGGAAGAGTCAGAAATACTCGCTGAGTGTGGACGTGGAGGGAGGAAAACTGGTGGTGATGAAGAAGATGAAGGACGCGCAGGAAGACTGGAACACGTTCACACACGACAAGAGTGAGTCTGATGATGATGATGATGATGCTGCTGCTGAGCGCTCATATTCTTACATCACTAGCAGTGTTGAGTCTGTGCTGTTCACAGAGGCTTTGTCACAGAATAAAATCATGTTTGTGTTTGTAGTTCGGCAGCTGATAAAGTCTCAGCGTGTTCAGAATAAACTCGGAATCGTCTTTGAGAAGGAAAAAGACAAAAGCCAGAGGAAAGATTTCATCTTTGCCAGTGCAAAAGTGAGTCGCACAGATTTACACTGGCATTTCTGAATTCAGATTTTACAGGTACTCACTACAGTGTGTGTTTAATCTGTATGCACACACACACACCACTGATTAATCGCTTGTTTCTCACCACGTAGAAAAGGGAAGCATTCTGCCAACTGCTGCAACTCATGAAGAACAAACATTCCAATCAGGACGAGCCAGACATGATCTCCATATTCATCGGAACATGGAACATGGGTGAGAAACACACACACACACACACACACTCACTCTTACACACTCACTCACACACACACACACACACACACACACACACTCACTCACTCACTCACACTCAATTACTCACTCACACTCTCACATACTCCCTCTCACTGACTCACTCGCACTCACACTCACACACAAACACACACACACACACTTACTCACACTCACATACTAACTCGCACGCACTCACTCTCACTTGCTCACACACTCACTCTCACTCACACTCACACACTCAGACTCACACACAAACACACACACACACTTACTCACACTCACATACTAACTCGCACGCACTCACTCTCACTTGCTCACACACTCACTCTCACTCACACACACACACACACACACACTTACTCACACTCACATACTAACTCGCACTCACTCACACTCACTCGCTCACACTCTCACTCACGCTCACGCACACACTCACACACACTCCGTCTCTCCTCAGGCAGTGTTCCTGCTCCGAAGTCGATGGGATCGTGGATTTTATCCCGAGGTTTGGGGAAGACTCTGGATGAGATGGCGGTGACGATCCCTCATGACATCTATGTGTTCGGGACGCAGGAGAACTCGGTGTGTGATAAGGAGTGGGTGGAGACGCTCCGCTGCGCCCTCAAAGACTACACCGAGATCGACTACAAACCCGTGAGACACGCTGCAGCTCTGAGCTTCATATTCTCACATTTCACTTTCATTTTTACTCTTTCTGTTATGTGCTTTTGACATTTTTATTATTAGTTTTAGGTTTTGTTATTATATTACTATTTATATGCTATTATAGTTGTATTCATATTTTGAAACAACTGAAAATATAAAACTAAAAGCTTTCAATTTAATTTTAGTTTTTTTTCTCATTTTGTTATGTACTTTTGGCAATTTTATTAGTTTTAGGCTTTTGCTATTGTAGTATTATTTATATACTATTGTATTAGTATATAAGTACATTATATAATATTATAGTTTTTGTTAATAATTTGAAGTAGCTTTTATTTTTATATTTTCAGTTTAAATTTCATTTGAGTTTAGTTTGTAGAAATTTGATGTGCTTTTGGCATTTTTATTAGTCTTACGTTTTTGTTATTGTAGTATTGTTTATGTACTATTATATTTTTTATGAATATTTTTTGAATTAGCTTTTTTATTACATTTTCAGTTTTCAAATTCATTAGTTAATTTTTTTAGAAATTTGATGTGCTTTTGACATTTTTATTAGTGTAAGAATTTTTGAATTAGCTTTTAATTTTATATTTTCAGTTTTGAATTTCATTTTGGTTTAGCTTTAAGAAATGTTGTTATGTGCATGTGACGTTTTTATTTGTTTTAGGTTTTTGTTATTGTCGTATTATTTATACACTACTATAGTTTTTTATTAATATTATGAAATAGCTTTTATATTTAAAATTTCATTTTTCATTTTTATTGTAATTTTTATAAATTTTATTTGTATTCATCATTCATCACATTTATTTTATCTTATATTTTTAGTTTTAATTTATTTTTATTTCAGTTTTTTATTGTAATTTATTTCCATTTAATGATTTAACTTAAACATATTTCAGTTAGTTCCCAAGTCAACAGTTCTAATTGTTGTAAGTTTTATTTGATTTCAGTTTTATTTTCAGTTTTTTAAAATAGTTTTAGTTAACATTCATGTTGATGATGATGCTACTGCAGTTTAATAACACAACCATGTTTATTATCAGTGAGCTAGGCCCAAACTATCAAAGCAAGTGTGAAAACAGTGTAAATGAAGAGCGATGCAGCTAAAATCTGTCAGAGCAGAAAGAGACTCATAAATGAATCTTCCAGATGCAATCCAGTGTGTGTGTTTGTGTGTTTAATGACCCTGCGACTGTTATGACTGGGACTTTATTAGAGTTTAATGTGTTTTTCTGTCATGTCGCTCGTCTGTGTTTCTCATCTGGCGGCTGAACTTTCCACAGTAACTGAACGAGTGAAGCACACGAGTGTTTGATCTCTGTGTGTGTGTGTGTGTGTGTGTGTTTGGCTGTAGATCGCAGTGCAGACGCTGTGGAACATTAAGATCGTGGTGTTAGTGAAGGCCGAACACGAGAACCGCATCAGTCACGTGGGAATGTCCAGCGTCAAAACGGGAATCGCCAACACGCTTGGTCAGAACACACACACTCTCTCACACACACACACACACACACACACACTCACTCACTCACACACACACACACACACACACTCACTCACTCACACACTCACTCACACTCACTCACTCACACACACACACACACACACACTCACTCACTCACACACTCACTCACACTCACTCACTCACACACACACACACACACACACTCACTCACTCACACACTCACTCACACTCACTCACTCACACACACACACACACACACACTCACTCACTCACACACTCACTCACACTCACTCACTCACACACACACACACACACACACTCACTCACTCACACACTCACTCACACTCACTCACTCACACACACACACACACACACACTCACTCACTCACACACTCACTCACACTCACTCACTCACACACACACACACACACACACTCACTCACTCACACACTCACTCACACTCACTCACTCACACACACACACACACACACACTCACTCACTCACACACTCACTCACACTCACTCACTCACACACACACACACACACACACTCACTCACTCACACACTCACTCACACTCACTCACTCACACACACACACACACACACACTCACTCACTCACACACTCACTCACACTCACTCACTCACACACACACACACACACACACACACACACACACTACTAACCCACAGTACTGAGACTAACTCAACCACTTTACCAGTCAGGTGTTCATTGCTGTATTTTTCATTAGTTTATGCAAATGTATTTATTTGCTTGTATTAGGGCTGTATGATTAATCTGTATAACAAAATCAAGATGTTATGAGAACCGTTTTTTAACAAAACAGATGTTTTAAGGCTCCCGGTGATTTTCCGTCAAAATAAAAATTCTGTGGTTTAACGTTTGAAAAAGCCTGACCCTAAAATTAAAGTAAAGTAAATTAAATACTCTTATTATTAAATAATATTAAATTATTTTTTTTATTTTACAGTACAATAGTACTATTACTGTAGTAATGTATTTCTTTATTAATTTACTTTTTATAATTTAATAATATAATATAATTTAATAATAATCTAGAGTCTAGTGTGAGTTGTTCTGTATGTAATTTTTACTGTTAAAATTAACAGTAAATCCACATTTTAAAGCTGGTATTTTAAACATTTTATACCTGATTTATTTTTCTAAAATATATATATTTTTTAATTTGCAGTGAAATATTACAATATCAGTATTTCTCATTTTGTTTTTATTTAGATTATATAAATAGTGTATTTTTTAAATAAAATAAACAAGTAATATATTATTACTGCTATTATTATTTAAAGGCCTTATTGATGTATAATCACAAAATTTTGGCCAAATTTCGCAGCCCTACAAACAAGCATAGCAAACTTGGAATTTTTTATCACATTTTAAATTGCGATTTTTCCAGAAAAATTATTTCCCCAAATCATGCAGACCTAAGTTGTATTATTTATGTGTTATGGTCTGTTTCCTAGGAAACAAAGGAGCAGTGGGCGTGTCTTTCATGTTTAACGGGACGTCGTTTGGTTTCGTGAACTGTCACCTGACGTCCGGCAATGAGAAAATCCACAGGTGAGACTGGAGTAATACATTCCCAGCTCACGGTTTGTGAATGTGTGATGCACTAATGACCTCTGACCCCTGGCAGACGGAACCAGAACTATCTGGACATCCTGCGTCAGCTGTCGCTGGGCGATAAACAGCTCAACTCCTTCGACATCTCGCTGAGATTCACACATCTCTTCTGGTTTGGCGACCTCAACTACCGTCTGGACATGGACATACAGGTGAACCGTTCAGCCGGTGCTGTCTAATAGAGTCAGAGTCAGAAAGAGCTTTATTGCCAGGAATTAAATTCGTCTTGGTGTTAGGAGCTTCCATTACAGAAAGTACAACATAGTGCAGACATACATATAATTAAGGTAATAAAAGAGAATAGACAATAAGTTCTAAATAACAATAGTAATAAAATGTCCATAGACAGAATTGTGAATGTGCATATGTGCTAATAGAACGTTCATTCAAAGTTATCTGGTCTTTAATAATGTTCTCAAAGCATTAGCACAAAAACATTATTTATACATCGTTCATGGAGCATTTATTGTTTCTAAAATGTTTTATTTGGACGCTCATCCAGTGTTATTTTAGTATCACTGAGATACTATTTGATCTTATCTTTTATCATTTCTGCTTTTATTTTAATTTTAGTTTTAGTCATTTAGTTGTATTTTGTGTTAGATTTTGTTTTTAAATGTCTATATAGTTTTATTTAATTTTTATTTCAGTTTCAGTTTATTTAGTACATCAAGGTAAACTTAATGGAAATGAGAAATGTTGAGCTGAAATTGTTTTTTAGATTTTATACTTTGTTTCAGTTATCTATAGTAACATTTTTTCAGTTAACTGTAACAAGCCTGCGTTTATGTAACATTTTTAAACATTGCTACTTGTTTTAGAACGTTCAGAGAGCATGTAGCGTGTAACGTTACATTATGTAACATTCCCATAAAGTTTGCAAAATGATCAAATGGAATGTTCTCTTAATGTTGACATGACCAAAATAAAATAGTATTAGACTCAACTTTATACCTTATTTAAAACCTTATCCTTCAAATCATTTACATTAGCTACATTTTCATCCCATATGTTGCCAGATAATGCCTGTATTTTTGTGCATGTCAGAAATTTGGGCTTCTGTGTGCGCTCTGTGGATTTTCACAAATTGTTTTTGACATGAAAACATACAGTTATGGTTTAATAGTCATCAGTTTGATTAATTTGATTTCATTGATGAGTTGTGCATCAACTGCATGTATATGCCTGAATGAACGAGGCATTTATATAGCTTTATGTTGCTCCTTGAGAGCTTGCCAGTGTTTAAGACCCAAATCTGCTCAGGTCTAGGTTTTCAGTCTGTGAAGACCTCCAGTGATATGGTGCTGTTCAGTGTGTACTGTGCAGCACTCTAGTGTACTCAGTAGTGACCGCTGTGAGTCTGAACACTCTCTGTCTCTCACACAGGAAATCCTCAACTACATCAACAGGAAGGAGTTTGAGCCATTGTTGAAGGTGGACCAGCTAAATCTGGAGAGAGAGAAGAACAAGGTCTTCCTTCGCTTCGGTACGCCTCACCTCTGTCTGTATGTGTGTGTCTAATAAATAAATAAATAAACAAACAAACAAACAATAATATATATATATATTATATATAACTGCGTTTCATGCGTTGTTTACTGCAACACAACGAGGAGAAACATGTATATATCCTCTGGCGATGGTCACTTACACTCATATGCATCGCCTCAGCATCAGATGCACTTCTCTGCTGGGGTGGGGTGGGGTTTCACAGGCAAGGCAAATGACCCCAAATACTTAATATCACCACAAGAGGTCTCCAAACAATTAATAAATGAACAAAAACACAGTAATTTTGGTGAAAGTTAAAAATGTTACTTTAAACCCTGTTACATAAAGATCATGTTCCATGAAGATATTTAGTAAATTTCCTACCGTAAATATATTAAAACTTAATGTTTGATTAGTAATATGCATTGCTAAGAACTTCATTTGAACAACTTTAAAGATGATTTTCTCAATATTTAGATTTTTTTGCACCCTCAGATTCCAGATTTTCAAATAGTTGTATCTCAGCCAAATATTGTCCTATCCTAACAAACCATACATCAATGGAGAGCTTATTTATTCAGCTTTCAGATGATGCAAAATGACTTATGACAGGTTTTGTGCTCCAGGGTCACAATTATGAGATAACAAGCATCAAAGTTTGATTTC